GTGTTTTCTTTTTTTAAAATTAAGCGAGCATTGAATTGATGTAAAAAGAACAGCCATTTTTTTACAAATTCTGTGAAAGCTATGGAGCTGAAATTCTAGTGGCTCGGTCTGTAAATGGGTTTCCGGGTACAAAATGAATTGTAGCATCCTCATGATTTTCACGTATTAACACAAAAAAAATATCCTGGCAAAAAAACGACTTCAAAAACTAGACAAGCTGAAAAATTGAAATTTCATGAGGTCCTTCCTGTCAAGTACGGCCGAAGCATTTAAATCCAGCTTCTACATATGCCTAGGTTCGTATGCAGACATAGTGAAGTTCAAATTGATACATTCCGGCACTGTGTCAATTTGAGAGCCAAAATGGGTAGAAAGCTCTGATTAATGAGATTATAATGTTCTTATATAAACATAAAAGTAAACATAAAATAAGTCTTTAAGTCCCAATGCATCTCATGAACGGTATGTGGATTTTTGCTGACATTTTGTGATTCCGCAACAAAAATCATTAGATTGTTAGCATAATCTACAATTGCGTGAATGTATACATGAAATCAGCCTTCACATCACTGTTTTCCCTTATAGGTGCATGGAATGTTGAAAAAATTCTGGATTTCATTGTATATAAACTTATCGCACATGGTTGTAGACCTTGCTTACAAAATCTCACAATTTTGCAATTCCCCAACCAGTCGAGCTGGAAATTTTGTGAACTTGACCCACTACAGTTTGCAAGTATGTATATATGAAACAATCTTTGCGTCTCATATCTCTCTTACCGACAAACAGTATCTAATGCTGACACTTTAATGATTCAGCCAAGATGGTTAAAGTATAGAGATTTTGTGAGCATGGTCTACAACCATGTGCGATAAGTTTGCATACAATGACATCCAGAACCTCCGTGTCTCCGTTACACCTCGCGTATGGATGCGAGGAAATCGATGTTAATTTCTTGACTGGCTGTGCAAAAAACATTTTTTCGAATCAGTGCGTTGATGCAAGCCGCAAAAAAATTATTATTCCCAAAAGCCTCTTCGTGTACCAATACAACAAATTGTATCTGCCTGATTGGATTCCAGGCAGGCACAAGCATATGGAACAGACAAGTGTAGAAAACTGATCGGAAACAATAAGATCTCGATTCCTCTACGGTTTTCAAAGTAAAGTAAATTAATTGTTCATTTTTTTGAATTTGATTATCCTTTGAGAAAATCCTACAAAAAGCTGCACTTATTTTCACAGAAAGAGAGTGTCTGACGGTATCTTGCATGCCCTTGGCCTATAAAAGCGGGCAGTAGACGGCAGCTCTGGAATTATGATCTAAACGATTTATGCATTTCAATTAAAAATTCTTGCATCAGTAATGCGTAAAAAATTGCTGGCATAAATTTAATGGTTTCAATAAAAGTGAAATGTCTGTAGAGGTTCACACAGCGACTCCTTTGAAAAAGCGAGAATGATGTAACTGAGAGCGCCCGGAAACATCCTTAGTTCATTCATTTCATTCAAACGCCACTACTTTCTAAACCGGGGTTTGAAGCAAATCTCGGAAATTCTGAAACAAATAATCGAGGAAAATGCTGTAAAGATGGGATTAATGAAATAAATCTGATCATCATTAAACTGGCTTTCGAGATTTCTTTTTCTAAAACGGCGCTATTATTGAAGCTGGTGGGAAGTTCTCAAGCTTTTTTATGCGTTTTTGCCGAGCAGCTCTGAAGCACTGAAACAGGCAGCCAAACCGCATATTGCGATGGCTTGGCCTGTGGTGTGTGCGTGTTTGTATGTCCGTGTATTTCTACGCAACCATGCAAGCCCTGTTGCTGAAAATTTGTCAGTTTGTTCCCCAGCCAGGCGCAACCGCAGGAACATGACATCAACTATCATACATGTCCCCGTCTCACGTACGGGCAGGTGAGAATCTTGGCAGGAAAATCGCCAACTCTGGAACGAGAGAATCTGGAAAGCAAGAATTTTTAGGGAATGTTCTGTACTCATATACTATTAAAAAGTTTCAAATCCAACTGCTTAGAACCGTTCTGGTCTCACATACGGGCACGTAAAAATCTTGACAGAAGAACTGCTAGCTCGGGAATAAGAAATGCTAGAAAGCTCGACATTTAAAGGGATATTTCTACTTCATAAAAGATTTCAAGCTCAACCTCTTAAAATCGTTCGGATCATACATACTGACACGTAGAAATTTTGACGAGAAAATTACTAATTCGGGAAAAAGTAAGGCCGGAAAGCTGGAATTTTAAGCCATTAGCAGAGAAACGAGAACTTCTTCCAATAATGGCCGAGCGAGCCAAGACAAGCCGCGTTCAAATAAATTGCCATAGGAGCACCGTTGGCATCCATTTAACTTACGATTTGGATTACGTGGTCGACAGTATTTTTATGAAGATATCCGTGTTCATTAGTGAACTCATATTCGTGGAAATGGCTACTGCGGCTTATTTTTCGTACCTGGATACTCAAATTTTTTTTGATGTGG